TGGTTCTAGAAGAAAAAATCTTAAAATAATTTTTTATTTGAAAGTTCGAGTGGTAGTAAACGTCATTTAAGCTGCTCGAATGAAGTGGTTAATTGCAGAGTCTCCTCACCCGAGGCGACAATTGTCACTTTACCATCACTTCACGGTCACCTCACCTCACACGGCGCGCAGAATATGACCAAAGATGAATACTAAGATGAAACTGTCGGAAGAAAAACTTTCTATTTTAGTGTCCTCTTTCACGGTCCCTTTCATCCAATGAATACCCCCCGTATTCAACGTAATTTTGTGGTTTTGCTGCCCCCTTGGTAGAGATGAAATTTTGCGCTCATTTTTATCAAAACAAACTCACCAAAATCAGAGATGTCCCATTTTTTAATTACTGGATTAACAACTAATCGATTATTTTTTGTTCGCTGTGCTGCCATTTTTCAACCAATGAGAGTGCATCACATGTTTGAAACGATCGGTGGTGATGATCATATGCAGATGTTAATGCTTATATCGGCACGATATAACCGATTACATATATTTTACTTTTCGGTTCGTTAATCGATTAATCAATTATTCGAATGAAAATCGGCCATCCCTAGATGAATGGGAAACGTCATTTCAAATATAAGGACCGTACATAAATAATGATACAATTTGAAAGGGACCGGGGCTAATCACAAATTACGTCCCCACGGTAACTGAAATAAACACGAGTGTTCACCGGTTGATATGACTAATCAACTGGTTTCTAAAAACTTTTTCATACAAACGTTAGTACAAAAAGTGTTTCGTTTCGAGATGCGCAATGTGACCCCTGTTCGTCTTCTCTTTTTCATTGAAAATTGACCAATTAGGAGCTGCACATTTAATCACGGATTCCCTGTTCGTTAATTGTTTTTACCAGTTTTCAATCTATAAATCACAAAAACTGCCGAGCATACAGTTATTTTAAATACAACTACTGATGTTCGGCAGCTTTTTCAACAAACTACTAAATACAGTAATAACAATTACTGAATTTACGGCAAATTAACATCTTTACGGCAAATAACTTAAACTCAGTAAAATACAGGCTTGCTGAAACTCCTCAAACTCACTGGAGGTTTTAAAACTCTCTTGTCCTGCGAGTTTAGCCAGTCTTCACCTCGAGTGAGTGGCGGAAGGAATATGGAAGAAGTAAACAAAAGCTCCTCGGGAGGGAGAGTGAACTTCAGCGAGAGGATTATTTGACGTGAGGTGCACTTTTCGAGGCTCCGGATGACACATCATTCGACGCAAGAAAGTCAGAGTTCACCCAGAGTGAGAGTAAGAGCATAGATGTAACTCTAAGACAAGTAGGTCCCGAAGAAACGTGCTCAACTTTTTGGCTCAGCTCTGGTACTATCTTCGGTCCCAAGCTAATCGATGCACCCCTCGAAAAATGGGAAAATCCACGAACCCCTCATTTTATCTGTCAAACTTTCATACTTATTTCACATAGTGTAGTACTAGAGTTCCGACTAGAATGGGATACGTTAATCGTTTGCTTGGGACCAATAGGCTAGTCAAGTAGTGAGCCAATTTCAAATCGATAGTTTCGTATTGATTGTTGGTAAGAGCGTGTGATAGAAAACATGAACATGAATTGCAGCAAACCTCACTCTCATTTACCCCCCCTTAACTCACAAGCTCTGAAGAAAAAGGCTACGCTCGACTTATTTCTAACTCACGAGTTAGGCTCCGTCAAGCCTGGTAAAATAGAACACCGAGCTTTCAGTACTGTTTATATTTTACTGAAACAGTCATCAAGCGAAATTCCAAGTAACTGATCACACCAGTAAATTGAATTACTTTACGTGAACCTCCTCCGTTTCACTTCACGCGCTTGACTTCAGGATTTTGTGTGTGAACACTGCAAACCTTTGTGAAAATCACTGAAGCTACTTCCTCGGCTACTTCCAACATTCACGGAATTGGGCAGTTTCTGGCACTCCAAAAATGCAAGCAGCCAGCCGAACTACGAGGAACCTCTGACCGCTGAAGCTGGACTAGCTAACGTCTAGTTTAAGTTTCAACAGCATCATACCAACAATCAATACGAAACTAACGATTTTAAATTGGCTCACCACTTTAGTAGCCTATTGGTCCCAAGCAAACGATTACCGTACCCTATTCTAGTCGAAATTCTAGTACTACGCATGTTTGTTTTGATTCGCTATGAAAGTTTGACAGATAAAATGAGGGGTTCGTGGATTTTCCAATGTTTCGAGGGGTGAATCGATTAGCTTGGGAACGAAGATAGTACCAGAGCTGAGCCAAAAAGTTGAGCTCGTTTCTTCGGGACCTTCTGGTCTTAGAGTTACCTCTATGGTAATAGGGTCGACAGGAGTGGAGATTTCCACACCCACCGCTTCGATCATCTTCATCTGGAAGCTCGGTAGCAGTCGACAGCCAATATTTCTCCTCAATGCGATAGCCACTCCTCCTCCGCAGGAGCTGGTCCGGTCTAGCCTTACGAACCGAAAATCGGGCAGGGGAACATTCATCTCCGGCTTCAGGTGTGTTTCGGTGATGAAGGCGATGTCAATGCTATTTTCATTGAGGAAATCTGCGAACTCAATGATTCTGCTCTTGAACGAGCAAGCGTTCCAGTTGATTATTTTGATGGCTTTATGGTCCATACTTTTGCACGAAGCTGCTGAGGTAGTGTCTTGACTCTTGGTGGTGCGCAATATTATGATCACCTCAGTCACGAGGATCAGTAGTTCGTCGCTTGTGAGTAGAGAATTGTCTCACTTGACACAGCACGGGCGTACGGTAATCCTGGGGTAGTACTGGAAACGTGTCCATGTTGACAGTAGGAGCACGATTATTGCGGTAGCGACCGGGTTGGTTAATCGTGGAAGCCTGTTGTCGGATCTGGATGAAGGCCGCTCGCTTGGAACATCTCCTATCGCTGCCTAGGTGGTTGGAATCACAGTTCACGCACTTATGTTCAGTTTCTTCTTGCGAGCCTTCATGTGACAATTCTTCGTACCGTGTCCAAATGCCAGATAATTAGTGCACTGTGTCACGCCACGGTGCCGATGGCGATACTCCTCCCACTGAATCACGATGTTGAACAGCGCGTGAAGCTGCCGCATAGCAGCCACACTGGTAGAGCCCTTATCGAAGTGCTCCAGGTGCAACTGATCCCGGAATGCACTGGTTTCATCACGTTGATTGGTTGCACTTTAATCTCCGCAACAGGGAGATTTGGAAGACCACTGATCACCATTTCTAGTGGTTTGCTTCCAGGGACGTCGTGAGTGTAGAACTCAAACCGGTTCAGGTGAAGAAATGTGCCAACTGCTTTGTAGTCCGCCAGAGTTGAGCACAAGATTTTGATTAGCCAGCTCATTCCTGAGCAACGCGAGTTCCTTCGTCGAAGTGAATAGTGGGTAAACTTTCTCCCGTTTCTCAACTGGATCTATATCTGTTTCTTCGGGGAGTGCCGAGAACGGATTACTGTGAAGCAACCTTTCCGTGTGTTGTGGCACCAGCTTTCGTGCGAGGCCTTTTCGGGGCATCTTGAACGGATGCGGTTGCATCCAAACTTTGACGACTCATCACCTTTTATTTTTTCAATGGGTGAGTGGAGGCATTCAATTGTTGCTCCTCTACCGCCGATTTAGCGACTGCCACAATAGAGGCGAGAACTGACGACACGTTGCGAGCCAAAGCGAAAACTCGCAACGGGTATCACGACCAAACGACCGACTTAAAACACCGAACGACTCGAGAGAGCGAACGAAAATAAAACCGGCCTGTAGAGCTTAAAGACTTATCAAAAACCTTACCTCCTAAAGTACTCATCCCCTGGGTAAAAATGTCAAGATCACAGGTATAAAAATGAAACTACAACGTGTAGAATCGGAACCTACCTAACTAATAGCCAAAGATTTAAGTAAAGTAAAGGAGAAAAATATATTCAGAACACTATTAAGGAAAAATTTCCAAAGGCTTGGTAGCCATCATCATGAAGTAATGAAATTGGGTTGTTAGCAGAATGCTTAAATAAAACAGCAAAAAAAGGTTATCTTCCATTTCATTCTACTTAATTAATTTTGGTATCCATGACAGATACATGTTTCGACTACAATGTACAGTCTTCATCAGTGTCATTCCCAGTTCTATGTACGAAAGGATGTAGGAATGTTATTTCTCCATACATTTCAACCAATATCCCAATATCAATTTTAATTCAAAAGCGCCAGTTCGTGTTACATCCGAATTAGTTGAAATTTTCAGAGAGTGGTTTTCTCACCGAATGGCACAAATCTGAGGGTTGGTCCGTTGAAAAAAAATGATAAAAAAAAATCTATCATATAAATATGGGCAAGTATTCTCATATGCATTTTTTTCATGATTTTTTTCAAAACAAACTGTGGAAAGTATTATCAAGAATAACTTCTATTTAAATTCTTTGAAGCACATGGCTTATTTGTTTTGTATGAAAAATAAATCGTTAAGTTCAATAGTTTAATGGAATAAACTATTAAAGCTGTTAATAGTTATATGTTGTGTGCTTAAGAATAGTGACAAAAAATGACAAGACATTTTGACCTTTTTATCGGATTTAAATCTAATTTCATTGATGATACATAAAGACAATGTTATAAACTTATTATTCGATCCAAAAACTCCTATACATATTCGAGGAATCGTAAATATAAACGGCCCATATTTAGTGACCTTCTTGCCCCTAGTTCCCCTACATCTTTAACAGAATTTGACCAACAAAATGTTAAAGTTATCATCTAATTCCTGGTTGTTTTAAACTTTCGGTGTTTAGTGGTCACCTTGCATAGCCCATACGTTTAGGCTAATTATATGAATAGGTCGACTTCTTATGATATTTTCTATACGAATGGGACTAGACCTGGATAATCAATCATAAAACTGATTCTACAAACTAGCTACAAAATTACAAGAAAGTTGAAGGCAAATACCAAAGGATTTCTTTTAGTAAAAAAAACGGTAGAATGTTTTCCTATCAGACATCTTACTCTATTTATCACATATATCAAAATGATCTTTGCTAGCATTCAGATTTTCGAGTATCTTGGATTTTACCTTAAATGTACAACGAACCATCCGCCGGTCCTAGGTAGTGCAGTGAGATCAGCAGCACATCGATCAAAGTCCACACACCCAAACCCCCAAAACTAAACAGCTTACCGATTCCTTCCTGCCAATGTCCGAGGAAGAACCGGTCTACGCCAAATCCTCCCAACGTAATGCTTAAAATCAGCGTAGTAGACCAGCGGTAGCCTTGAGTCCAGTTGCATGGTACCTTCTTCATAAATGTCCTGTGACCCATGCATAGGATCTCCGTATTTACGGTGCAATTAGTTTTGAACTGGGAATCTATGGAATTACAGCCACCCTTCTGCTCACAAGCCTGCTCCCATCGTTCCGTTTGATAGCAGTACCGGCAAATGGTTTTCCGTTTGATCTCGTGACTGGGCCCATCACAACTGACAGAGCTTTTAGGTATGCAAGTTACGTTCATTTCCGCTCCGTAGATGCACTGAGCGTTGTAATTGCACTGGAGGCAGGAGTTTGGCAAATCACCGCACAGGGTGCCATTCGGACAGTGACTGGTGTCTGATGGTATTTTAATCTGTAGAAGAGTAAATAGCATGATTTTTTTTTCTTATAATAATGAAGCATAAATCAAATTGATTCACTTACCCCAGAATTGATGGTTAGAGCACTACGGTCATTATCGGTGCTAGTTTTCTCCAGTTTAGTGGGCTGCAATGGAATGTAATTAGTAAAGCAATTTCCAACACTCTTTACAAATTGAAAAAACTTACGATTACTTCTGGATTATTCGAATTTACAGCTGAAAATTAAACAATAAAAATTAATCAAACCCAGAACGAATACTCGTTGCTTCAAATTTAATATTCACTTACAGGTTTGTGTGATCCTTACATGTGTCAGAATCAATGAAATTATCAAAAAGATCACCGATTTTAAATTTAATCGAACACAGCCTCTGCCTAACATTTTCGTTTGCTTTAATCTACAGTGGAAGTGTACTGAACTACTTTTAATTTTTGCGTTATTTAAGTAATTCAATGAATTTATACTGCTGTTTTTCGATTCGCAACGCAAAGAGAACAATTTTTTCGCTGGTTTGTTTTGGTTCACACATTCTCCTGACACCCGAGGGATAGCCCATTTGATCATCCGCTATAACGCCTTTTATTACACGGAAACTTTCATATTATGAGCCCATTAAATATTACGTAACGCACTAGGGGTAGTGGGGGTAGTCTGGGTAACCCGCATAAAACTTTTCACGTTCGGTTATATTCGTTATATTGCACACCCTAATAAAAAATAACCATAAACGAACGACAACCCAAATCATTGAACTATTCCACAAATGGTTTGGATGATACCCAGAACACGTCGTTAAGCAAATTAACCATACAATTTTTATTAGGGCAGTGGTTGAAAAGTCCATTTTGACGCTCTTAATTAATAGCACCATGGAGAGCGGATTTAGAGTAAGGACGTCTTCAACAAAGTTGATGAGTATGACATGCTTTATATTTTGAAGGCATGGATTTTGTGATTAATCCCCCTAAAAGTGAAATGAAAAATTTATTTTTCCACAATGTCGAGATAAATGGTTGACGCCTTTAGCAAAGTTGTAGCAAAAATAATTACAAACAACTTTGCTGAAGACATAAAAGTCCTAAATTTCACTCAAATCAGGATAGAGAGCGTTGTTTGAGGACGGACCCCAAAAACACGTTTTTCATCAAAACACATATTTTCTTGAAGTTTATGTCCTCATTATGTTGAACAAAGTTGATTGGTATACTAAAATACACATCGTTCTAGAACATACTATACCTGCATCATTTTAATAGGATGAGTTATTGATAAATTTTCTTCTATTTTCCTCATATTTTGGCCTTGCGTATCTTTCTTAGGTGCAGGAAGGTGCAGATGAAATCAAATGCATCAAAAATTACATTAAAAGAGCTTTCAAATGGTGGTAAACTTGTCCGTCCACAACCGTCTGCTGGGGAGTTGTGATCAAAACAAGTATGTATCTATATCTTTACTCTGTTTTATGGTATAACCAGTACAAAAAAGATAATCAACTTCAATATATCTACATATTTTTCTTGATTAAATTCTTTTTGTTCGATTGGTTTTGCATTTTTGTTTTTAATATTTTGTATTGTATTCAATTATCTTCATTATTATCATAATCATAATCATTAATATAATCATTATCGTTTCCCTCAGCTTCTTCTGCTAGCAGCTGTTTAGCATCGCTCGACAATGGCTTCTCGTGCTTTTTCGGCCATCCACGAATGCTAGTAATCAATGGATCTGATAATACTAGGAGCCAGTTCAATAGATCACGATTTGTAAGCGATCTTGATTGCTTGCGGGTATTGAAGTCTTGGTATCTGTTAAATAAAAGTTTTATTAATTTATTCGTTGTTATTTTAGTTAAATACATGTACCTCTTCCAATCCTTGTTCCTTGCCTCCCGTGCTTCCTCAGAAAGCTGACCGATTAGAACAAGGAAATGTTCAATCACGGCTGATCCATGTATCAATACTTTATGAATATTATTATCATTATTTATCTTTATTAAGGAGGCTTTCAGCCTGGGGCTGGTTCGCCTCCAAGCTACTTTATGAATACTAGCTGGCAAGTAATACCAGGTTCGATAGGTTGGTGTTGATTAACAAAGCCAAAGCTTGTAGATCTGTGTATTCGGGTATAGGATTGCTCAAAGACTTCTTCAAAGAATGAACCAACTTATTTTCACCTGCAGGACTTGCGTGAGAAACGGTTTTCAGGATATCCGTCACCTCTTTCTCACCTGATTCTCTCATCTTCATTTGTGTCGCAAATGCTAGCTCATTAAGATGGTAGCTGTGTGGTATGCACCAGCCTATATAATGATAGCCCAACATGTATCAGCCTAATGCGTGAGTGACAACAGCTCAGTCACTCAGCGCTCACCAGCTAGCTCACACGAAGGCACTGCTGTACAGTCGTACCGCCATCGCAGTCATCATTGACGAGTGAACCTTCTTTGAGGTAAGTTGAGTGTGTGCCTACTGCTGCGTGTTGGGTAATTCCTAGCAAATGGCGGAACTGCACAGTAGCTATTCTGAACCTCTACAGTTTTCTTCCTCTACGTTGTTTCACAACATTCTTCGAAAGGAACAACCTTCCGTCCTGCCATACTTTTTGCATTTTCAGAAGTAGACGGAAGCAAGTTTAAGCCGTTTTCAGGAAGCGTGAACGGCTTACTGAAATACTCGGCGTGACACTTGACAACCATGCACGAGCATGTTTGGTCCAGAGCTTTTCCAAAAAGTCGCACATCGTTTTCACGGGTTTTCCGACATGTGCAGCCACATCCGGCATAATATTCACATTTATGGCATAACACTGGAGTACCTTCTTATAAACGCAGTTGAATTTTGATGATCGGCCTCCACTCGTTTTTGACCAGAGTGATAAGAGATCACGCTTATCAATTTCAACTTAAATTGAATCAAGAAAGAAAAACATCATTGGCACTTGTTGCGATCCAACGATGAATTGAAAAAATTAAAAGAAATTAAGCCCTTCCAGATAATTTCATTTTACTTCAAAATCCTGCTCTCGTAGCTTCCACTGCTGTCCGGTTTCTTTGACAGAATTAGTCTCTTTCTCCTTCGCTTGGCTTCCGCAGTTCTTCTATCTTACATGCTTTCATATCCCGACCAACCATTCGTGAAACTTCTTCAAAGTTCTTTATACAGAAATAAAGATTTATGTCAGCAATTCTTTACTTTAAATTTTCTATGATTTCGATGTACACATTTAAAAATCTTTATTGATCGATACTTACATTTAAGATTATTTCTTCATCGGTCATATGATAGTAATCTATAAAGGTGCCATACTAAATTTCTTTTAATTTCGATATGTCACATGGACTTTAGTATTCTTTACAAATATTCATCAATAAATATTTAAATACTGATATCATCGTAACTTTGAACATTGACAAAGAACAACAAAGATTGCCATCGATACACATTTATAATCTCCTTGTTTTCGATTTGCAACGCTGGTTAAAGAGAGTTCGAGACACACCAGGTGACAGGTGGCAATGTTTATATTATTTATCGACATATTCGGCATATCATCGGAAGAAGCAATCTGCCGGTAAATGAACGAGAAGACCGATGGCCGCGATGCAGCAAATGTTTACTATTGTCGTTCTTCAAGTTTACGTCTATATATTTCATAACCCGTGATAGCATACGTGGTGGGATTCTCGGCATTTGGAACCCAATGAGGAAAATTTACACCTTTTTTACCTCTATTACACCTACATGGCTGACCGGTTGATGGTTATGACAAATAAATATTGAATTCATGTATGAAAAGATTTACAGAAATTTCAGTACACCACATACTAGAGTGTGTTTGCCTGTCGTTGATAAGCTCATCAACAGCAGCCGTGGATCCGAGGATTAGCAACGAACAACGAAATCAGTAGTTGTGTATCGATATTTTGATTTTACAACAGAAATCGATATTTTGATCTGGCAACACAATCGATATTTTAACATTGGTAACGATTGGTAGCAATATTTTGAGAAAGATCTTTATAAACGATTCACGATTAGACTTTTAGCATCTTTACAATTATTCATGAAATGGTGACGATCGCTATCGATTTTTCTTATGAATGGCTTTGAAGATCGATGTATAGAAAATTAAAGAAAATTAACGAAATGGTTGGTCGGGATACTTTCACAATTCTCGATGAACATTTCAAATGGTCCTATCTGCTTTGATCGATTCTCTTCATCGAATTTTTCTTTTGATAACCACTGCTATGCAAACATATTTCGCGCTAATTATTCAACATAGTTTGATAAAGGAGATTCTTATCTAGCATCCAAAACGTGAAATACAATAGCGAAAAGTTTTGAAGCTGAGTTAATAACGGAAGAGAAAGTCGATGAAGAGAATCGATCAATGCCGATAGGAGCTTTTGAAATGTTTATCTAGAATTGCTTCACGCTTGATGAAAAACAGTGATGAGCACTCTGGAAAAACACTTATCGACTCACAAGTGTAACTGAATTTGACAGTTTTTTTTTCGTTCTTGATGCTTCAGTTTTGCCTTCTGGGAAATGTTTGGAAAGAATATGTGCCGTTCTTGAATTTGATAAGCTCTGAGAAGTGGGAAATTTGTTTATTGAGTCGGTTACTATGGAAACGAATTTATTACGCGGTATAGAACACACTATCCCCTTGTTGTTGACATGACTTCTATAAAGCCTATCAATGGGTGTTTGTTTTGATCATAACTCTCCAGCAGACGGTTGTGGATGGACAAGTTTACCACCATTTGAAAGCTGTTTTAATGTAGTTTTAGATGCATTTGATTTCATCTGCACCTTCCTGCACCTAAGAAAGATACGCAAGTCCAAAATATGAGGAAATAAGAAGAAAATTTATACTATTATAGTACGTTCAGACTACAGAGTTATAACATGTTATAGCACTATCTTGATGGTGGTTTCTGTGTTGCAATTATTTGACAACCGTTATAACATGTTATAACTCTCCAGTCTGCACAGCGTTTTATAGTACATTAAGACTACAGAGTTATAACAACAATCAATAGGAAACTAACGATTTTAAATTGGCTCACCACTTTAGTAGCCTATTGGTCCCAAGCAAACGATTAACGTACCCTATTCTAGTTGAAATTCTATTACTACACTATGTTTGTTTTGATTCGCTATGAAAGTTTGACAGATAACATCAGGGGTGTGTGGATTCATGCAGAACATGCAGGGGTGAGTGAAATAGCTTGGGACTGCTTGGGACCGTTGTTCTGGTACTGAGTGAGCCAAAAATAATAATGATTTTCTTCGGGACCTACTAGTCTTAGAGTTACCTCTATGGTTATAACATGTTATTGCGCTATCTTGATGGTGGTTCCTGTGTTGCAATTATTTGACAACCGTTATAACATGTTATAACCAACAATCAATACGAAACTAACGATTTTAAATTGGCTCACCACTTCTGTGCTACACTAACATAGTGTAGTAATAGAATTTCAACTAGAATAGGGTACGTTAATCGTTTGCTTGGGACCAGTAGGCTACTAAAGTGGTGAGCCAATTTAAAATCGTTAGTTTCGTATTGATTGTTGGTTATAACATGTTATAACGGTTGTCAAATAATTGCAACACAGAAACCACCATCAAGATAGCGCTATACCATAGAGGTAACTCTAAGACCACTGGGTCCCGAAGAAAATCATTATTATTTTTGGCTCACTCAGTACCAGAACAACGGTCCCAAGCAGTCCCAAGCTATTTCACTCACCCCTGCATGTTCTGCATGAATCCACACACCCCTGATGTTATCTGTCAAACTTTCATAGCGAATCAAAACAAACATAGTGTAGTAATAGAATTTCAACTAGAATAGGGTACGTTAATCGTTTGCTTGGGACCAATAGGCTACTAAAGTGGTGAGCCAATTTAAAATCGTTAGTTTCGTATTGATTGTTGGCTATACCATAGAGGTACCCTAATAAAAAATAACCATAAACGAACGATAACCCAAATCATTGAACTATTCTACAAATGGTTTGGATGATACCCAGAACACGTCGTTAAGCAAATTAACCATACAATTTTTATTAGGGTAACTCTAAGACCACTGGGTCCCGAAGAAAATCATTATTATTTTTGGCTCACTCAGTACCAGAACAACGGTCCCAAGCAGTCCCAAGCTATTTCACTCACCCCTGCATGTTCTGCATGAATCCACACACCCCTGATGTTATCTGTCAAACTTTCATAGCGAATCAAAACAAACATAGTGTAGTAATAGAATTTCAACTAGAATAGGGTACGTTAATCGTTTGCTTGGGACCAATAGGCTACTAAAGTGGTGAGCCAATTTAAAATCGTTAGTTTCGTATTGATTGTTGTTATAACTCTCCAGTCTGGACGGCGTTTTAATGTAAACGCCTCGTCAGTCCGTGCATTTAGATCGGATTCTAATATGACGATGACGCTGACGTTGACGCAGAATTCTGCATGGATCCCGCTTCATTCAGTAACGTTTTAAGTTTCTTTTCCCTCGTTGCGTAAAGCGCAGCTGTCAAATTTGACATTTTTATTTTCGTCTTTGCTTTGTCCTTGCTTCTCAAACGATGTTTTGAACGCAATCTTCTCAAGTAGTAGCACAGCGAGCTCTCTTGTTTTACTGCGGTTCAGTCCAGTTTTGAATTTTGTGCCGTTTTGAGGCAGTTGCTTGGCTTTCGGGGTATTTGTTTGTCAGTAAATTGAAATATCTGTGTGCGGTGCATTTTATTCTTCGGATGATAAAAACCTTCTCTCAACAGAAGAAAGAGGTGCAAAATAAAAAAGTGAAGTGGTCGGTGTGACAAAAATAACAAAACAAAAAAAAAAAAAAAATCGAAGGAAAAAAGTCGGAAAATCGTCTAGCTGTCATTGGAAATAATTTTCCTGCACGGAATATCGAATCTGTCAGGGTTTTCCTTGTTCGATTGTTGTCATCCGTCGTCTGGAGGTGCATTAAAATTTTCCTCGTGTTTTTCACCCACTTTATGCGTGAGTTCATGTGTTGCAGTGTCTGGATTAAAGGGCGATTTTTACGAAACCATAAGCGAAGAAAGTGCGAATTCAATTTATGTGTTACTGGTGGCGTTGAAGAGCAAGTTTTGTTTGAAGATTCGTAGACGGAATAAAACTCATTTATTACGGAAAAGGAAAAAAGTGATTCATTCGTAGAGGGGCAAGAAAACGTCACTATTTGGATAAGCAAAAGATTTTCTTTCGGCGTTGAATTACCCACGGGAATTTTTTTTTTTAGCGCTGAATGTGGATAGGTATCTGATGTCATTGTTAAAATAAGATTCAAGAAAATAGCGCTTTAGTTCCGAAGAGTCTGATTGCTGTGTGGAATCGTAATACAAGCCCAGGGGAACTACTGAAGAACACTAGCAATTAACACCGTTCTCCGTGTTTCATTGATTTTTGCGGTATTCTTTGACCTCGGTCGAGTGCAGGCACAGCGGCCTGCAGTGCTTTTGAAAACAATTCAAAGGAAATCGAAGAAAATCATCATATAAGCCGGTGATAGTCGACTAAAGTGGTGGGTTTCCCGACACGCCAAAAGCAGCACGGAGGTATATTCTAAGAGCATTGGAAAGAGGGAGTACACGCTTTCAGTAGACACCAGCGAGCTCCCGTGTTTCGGAGCCAGTCAGCCAAGCAAGAGGTGAGTGCAAAGATCCAGAATTGACTGGGGAGATATAAAAGGGAGAAAAAAGTGGAAATGTGCCAACCAGCAATCATAATAATGGTCTGGCTGAGTTTGTTGGCGCTGAACTGGTTCTTCGTCGAAAACCAGAAGAAGAAAATAAAACTAGATGTTGAGGTATGCAAATTTTGAGTTCTCCAGTTTTGATTCGGCTGTTCCGGCGAAAAGTGTGTCACTGCTGATATAGGCAAGATTTGATACAATCTGGAATGAGCAACTACATAGTTAATAAAAATTTCACCTAAATCGGCAACTAATTTTATTATCTCTTTTATTGAAAACTAGGACAATATTTTTAAGTTGACAGGAATGATATCATAAGGTAAATTGAAAGTCGATCGTTGCAACAAAAAATTGAGCTCAGTTATTCACGCATGATTCTGTGAATTTGGTTGCCTGAATTTCAGGGATCTCGGTTACAAGACTTACGGGAATTCAGATTTTTTTCTACAAATTTTCAACCAATTGCACAGTTAAAAGAAATCCTAATATTTTGTTAAAGATTGTTTCTAACTCTTTAATTTTTGAAACCGTTGCATAGAAATTCATTGATTCTTCCTCCAAAAGGCAAAGTTATGAGCTGACAACCTGAATAACGTGTGGTGTCTCCATTCACCGTTTTTTACGTATACGCTTAAGTATACGCTTAACCCTCTTCTTACCAGCTCAGGTGATCCACATCTTTTCGGTCCGTCTCATGTTTGTTAATCTACCATTAAATATGCAATACTTACTTAAGCTTCTCCATGTGCTCATCCCAACAAACATTGAATGCTGAATAAGAGCTTATTCAGGCAAACATTTACTTCTTGAGCTAAAAATGGCTTATTCAGCTTTTAATCAGCTCAAATTGTATGTTGGGATTATTCTCGTCTATATATATTACTAGCTGATTGTGCCCGGCATTGCTCGGGATTCAATATTCGCTTGAGTTTATGCGCCAATTTAAAAAAAAAACATGCTGTATTGTACGTAGCCCCCCCCCCTTCTTATCTAAGGGGGTACCCCCTATGACCTCCACATACCAAATTTGGTTTCATTTGCTTGATTAGATCTCGAGTTATGCAGACATTTCTGTTTCATTTGTATGGGAACACCCCCCCCCCCCCCCCTTACAAAGGGGGAGGGGTCTCGCACCGTCATAAAAACCTTTCCCTGCCACAAAAAACCCTGAATACAAATTTTCACGCAGATCGGTTCAGTAGTTTCCGAGTCTATAAGGGTCAGACAGACAGACAGACAGAAATTCATTTATATATATATAGATAGAAGATAGATTGATAATTCAACTAGGCAACTATTGAAAAACAACTAACTTTATTGATTGTAAGCTAAAAATTAGAAAAATTAGTTGAATTTTAGACTGGAACTTTTTTTGTAGTAGAATCTTTTTTCAAAAACCTATTTTTGCAACTCAAAACGACGAAAAACCTTCTGGAAAAGTTTAATCGACTATGTTCTTAGGGAACTATTACATCAAACTGTTCAAGAGGCATTCAATAGACCCATGTATCGAACTCATTAAGGTTTCATCTTAGTCCCCGTTCCCAATCGGCATTTTTTTCCGAAACAGATGATAATTCCTTGAAAGTTGGCTTTTATAATGTTTATCATACGAAAAGTGTGGATTTGGAGATTTTTTTTCGAAATCGACGGTGAAACAGAATTGACAAGAAACTTATCCAGGGTAGCCACTGAATCGGGAATTAACCGGGAAGCATACAACCGGGAAAGTACTGTCGTTTAAGCTCACTTTTTACATGTGTACCAACTTTGCAAACCTGATCTATGGCCATATTCATTGTTGAATTGGTTGCAAAATGTAGATAATCAACAAAGATATCTAATTAACAAGATATCCCACTAATCAATCCCTCAAGGCCCAAGCGCAATGACAGCGGAAGCGGAACGGCAGCGGCTGCGGAAAAGCCCGATCTGAGTAAGCCTACTTGTCGGATTGAAAACTAGTTAGATCCAAATCGACATCGGCTACGTTTCTTGATGTCATTTGTGACAACTGCCAAACTTTCCGTTTCCGTTCCGCTTCCGTCCACATTGCGTGTGGGCCTTCATACAAGGCACATAATGACCACCCGTATGTGCTCGCAGTGCCATCTGTTGAGTGCATATCCAACTTCACCACCAGGGCTCAATAACTGACAGATGTCAACGCGGACGTTGATGATCAGTCGAGGACGATACCATCCTCTAAGTCATCATCATTATATTGTGATAGCAAGATTTTTACTTGTTTTTGATTGATCCGATTTTCAATCATTACCACTTTATACGCAACAGAAACACTTGAGAATGTTTTGCTTTCGAGCGAAAGAGTTTCCAATACATCACCGGTGTCAGTAAGATGCAAATCTTTAATAGAAATTGATGATTTGCGGAGCTGGTGCTCAAAATAATCTTAATAAGCATAGAAGTAAACATGGGAAAAGCATTCCAATTATTCCAACACCCAGCCACTGGAAATGCAACGTATCGGAATCATTGCTTTTTTTTTGATAATTACTTTATTTGTACAGGATCAATCGAATAAACTGTACAGAGCTAAGTTATCATTTTCTTTATACATTATAAATGTCTTATATCTAAAATTAAAGAATTTGACCGATTACTCGCGGTCTTCTCGAGGTTAGTGGATGACAATTGTTTGGATCGGGAGAGGGAAAAGGAGATTTGGAATATGATTTATGATTCAAAAACGGAATCATTGCTAAATGTAATAAAATATGCCGTCATCTTTGGCCAACGCCGCACGCATTCTATTATTACGTGCGAATAATCATTACTTTCCTATTTTATAACGTAGGAAGTATTTGTCAACGCCGGTGAAAGCAAACGCAAACGGAAGTAACCGAAGCTGAATGATGATGATGAGTGATGACACTGCTTCGTGTTTTGATTCACCCCTTCTTCCAACGCTGCAGTTCAACGTTGTCTCGTCACAAACCGTTTGGCGCTGTTATCTGTCTCTAAAAATTCCAAAGAGTGAAGGGGGTCTGGAATCAGTAAAACTACATAATTTTACAACACATTCGGAATCATTGCTAAACGTAATAAAATATGCCGTCTTCTTTGGCCAACGCAACACGCATTCTATTCAAAAATTACGTTGGAATAATCATTACTTTCCTATTTTATAACGTAGGAAGTATTTGTCAACGCCGGTGAAAGCAAACGCAAATGGAAGTAGCCGAAGCTGAATGATGACGATGAGTGATGACACTGCTTCGTGTTTTGATTTGCACTGTACCATCCGCTTAGTTGTGTGGGTTCGTACATGTATAGATAGATGTTGGTGTGTGTGTTTTCTTCTAACGCTGCAGTTCAACGTTGTCTCGTTACAAACCGTTTGGCGCTGTTATCTGTATCTATAAATTCCAAAGAGTGAAGGGGGTCTGGAATCATTAAAACTATATGATTTTACTAAACAATCAATTGTAATATGGCCATAAATTAGATTTAAAATTAACCATAGAAAAAAGTATGGTTACGCGATGTTACTGACATATCCGGGAAGTTGATTCGAACCGTTTTTTTATCCTTATAAATCGAATGAGAATTGAAATCTATTAATAAAAATGTGAAGTCGGGTAGCTCGAATATTTCTTTTCAAATCTTTAATATTTCTTCTTTCTTCCAGCTCGCTATTCTTAACTTTTCCTCATAGTATGGATAGGAAATAAAAAAAATAAATCTGAGATCTCAAAATATCAGCAAAATTTTTGTCAGGTTCAAGATCGTGATAATTTTCCAAAATGATTACAATCAGAAACTGAAACAATATCCAAGCCCACGACACGTGATTTTTTGGTGTTGAATTAGCAATCTCAATAGTTTTGCTATGCCTGTTCTCCGGCATTTTGAATATTATTGTTAATTTTAGAACTTTTGAAACTTTGCATGTCACAGAATCTACAATCCATTTAAGTCCATTTCAGTCCTGCGTATCGAAGATATTTACAAATTTGAAATCTCACAAATCTTACTGTTACACTTTTCCCCCTATCGCTCACTCTATATCACTGTTACACTTTTTAGAAATTTATAGTCCCATAACCTTGGACAGTTTGATATTGAAACATCCAATGTATGAATTACCTAAACTCTGAATAACTTCTAAAATTAGGATAGGATCATTCTAAAATATCTTCAAAGTGTCCTTCAGGACTACCCTTAATAATCTTATGATTCTCTCTGGTATTCCCTAGAAATTTTCTCCATAACAGTCTCAGAATTCTGTGCAGACCACTTAAAAAATGCCCTCCAACAAATTTAAATTCACTCTACAATTATCTTCGTGCCCCTAATAACTCGCCTTAGAATATGCTTTATTTTAATTTTCAATTCTAGATGGGGTTGAATTTACTCTGTGGGCTCCCCTTGCCCTTTCTCGTAGTTATGCCAATGATTTTAATTATCCTAATTATCCTAATTATAGAACAAAATTTGACAATTTGTAGCGATCTGGAGCCTATTAAATTTTTAAAGCTCGGAATTTTGAAAAAAAAATATGCCCTTATTTTTTTACAAGTGACATATTTATGCTGCTGCAGTTTTCATACATATTTAACCGGAAAAAATATGCTTAATTTCAGTGGCAACTTGCGATTAATAAAATTTGCGTGTACGAAATGCAAGATAAATTTCAAGAAGGAATCGGTTGATTGCATTTAGTTCTCATAATGTGGTTGGTTCAGGCTCCTGTCACATACGTCCAATCACGTGAAGTACATAATTCAGGATAGGTCTACGGATACGGTCTGTCAACTTTTGTTGGTGGACTTGTTTTGCAAATTGCTAATGGGGAAGTCTGGCCAAAGTGTACGGTTCATACGAATTTTCGAAATTCTGTATGGACGAAAGTCTACGAGGAGAGAGGGAGATCTGCTATTCCGTAAAATGGGTTTACGTGATTAATGAAGAGTGCTATGATAAGTACCAAC